GACATATTTCTAATTCTTAAGACATATCCTCATTTAAAATAACTCATCATTAAGCCCCAATTATTTTTACCTACATTTTATTTTACCTATAGGAAAATTCACTGTTTTTGATGTAAAATTGTATGAGTCTTGATGATTGCATTGAAACATGTAAACACCACCACAATCAATATACAGAACAGTTTCATCATTCCTAAAAATTCTCTCATGCTGCCCTTTGTGTTAAACCTCTTCCCCACCCCTAACCCCTGGCAACCACTGATCTGTTCTGTGTCCCTACAGCTTTGACTTTTCCAGAATGAAAATCTAATCAGAATGTCACTGGTCTTTATTCATGACAAAATTACATTCATCCAATTATTAAAGGCAGACATTTGAGAATCATCACAAACAATTCCTTCTTCAGACTCCACATCTAATCAATTATCATGTCTTCTTTAATATTTCCGTAATTCCTTCTTCCCTTTCAATGAGTTAAGAGAAGTAAGAAAAGGAAGTTATGGGAGTTTCACATGTAATAACTATGGTTTTTAAATTGATGGTCACTATTCTTTAGTTTTACTTGGGACTTTTCCTTTAAGGCGTATTTTATTGATCTGTTTTGTAGGTTTATCTTGGTGTTAGGAAACATAGTTGAGAAGGTGTAAGACAGAAAAATGTACATGTAGGCTGCAGCTTTTGTTTAGATAAGAGTGTACGAAGAAACAATTTGATAAAGTGAAAATATTTTCCTGGGATGGGTCTTAAACAAAGAGAATTGGTAAAACTAGAAATTGAGAGAGATTCTGATAATCTAGTTCATTAGGATTTAAAACCAAAAGACGCACATTTTCTACTTTCTAACTGTTCATCTTATGCTGCCTTATTACTGAAGTATTCAACATTTCCTGTACAAATATGCCAGTTCATCTGTCACCTGATTTTCCTTCTGAGCACCGAAATCAGGCTTAGTCCAGGTAGCTATCTTTAACAATCTCTCAAGTATGTTTTTTACTTTTTAACTTTAGAAATGGGACAAACATATATGGGGAATAATTGCCTACATTGCTTTATCTCTCACATGTTTTGTGGAATATTAGATTGTGTGAATCTTACCAAGACTAAGAGGAGAGCCTCTTGCACTGAATTTTGAACTTTTTAAAATGTATCATTAAGGTGTGAATGTATTGGTCTTGAAGAAAATGGGGAGAGAAATGAAATAGCAAAAAATGAAACAAAAACAAACAAGCAAAAAATAGAAACAACACATATATACAAGTACAACATAAATGATGTTTTTTATGTCTGAGTTACATTCTCACACTAATCATCAAATTTTACTAACTATGAGGACTGTGTGGACAAGTCAATGAACTGCTAAACCTGGGGGTTGATATCTTTTTATCAGATGGACGATGGAAAAGGAAGGAAGATGATTGGTGTTATAGTGGCTAATGTTATACAATCGTCAGGTGAGATGACACTTAGTTAGCCTGGAGGTATAAGACTTCAAGACAGCTCCACACCTTGCAGTGCTCAAGGACCTTCCATGCTACAGATCCTCTTAGACTGAGAGGTCTCTTTTTACTGGTGGCCAAGCACAAAGATGGCCCCTTTGCTTTAAGCATGTCCCACTTGAATGCTCCAATCTCTTTCAAACTTGACCATAGTCAACTCAGGGTTTAAGCTGGCCGGCCTGAACCGGTACTAATTCCTGACTCTCGTCAGACTCCTTGGCACCCACCTTTATCAATCTTAGTCTGGTCCCTTTACAAGCATTGTCTGCTCCTGCAGTGGGCCTCCACTGCACCTCTTACAGGCTCTCATTCTCCAGTATGGAGTCAGTTCGGTTATTAACTAAGGAAAACATATTTTTATCCTACACATTCTTCTTCTTTTTCCCCTGTAGGTCAATTCCAGAATTGGCTGAATTAAGTTTCCCTTTCAGCCCAGCGTCAGGTGTGGGTCACTGGATCAAACATATACAACTTACTACAGCACCAGCTATTTGTATCTTTGAACCTCTAAGTACAAGCCTGACCCTAACCCTCCAAGAGCTGCTCGGACCTTTGAATATATGGCTGAGGAGAGAAGGGAAAAGATAATCAGGGGAAGAGGGAGGCTGATACTGGGGTGAAGCTGTGAGTGTTGACTCCCCATTTCACGCAGTGCTGCCGTCCTCCCCGCAGACATTGGCAGACAGCAGTTTCTCCTTCAATTTACCTGTTTATTTTCCTATCAAGTATTAAGCCTACTTATTTCAGCTCTGTTTACCAAACACTTGTTGAGGGTCTACTCTGTGGCAGTCACTCTGCTATGTAACAGAGATTACAAAAATAGATACCAGATACACTTAATCCTTTGAACAGGCCATTTCAAATGCAGTTTAGAGAAATTGCAGTTGATGGAGCAGAGCGAGATTAAAACTCAGTATGCCCCGTTTTCCCTTAAAATACTGGTTTTAGATAAGCTAGGGAAAAAAAAAATCTGAGAAAAAGATGATATGTAAATATGTTTGTATTCAAGTGGCGCGAGTGAGTTAACCCGTTTTCTAATCTTGGAGACCTTAATTTCTGTATTTGTTTTATAGAGGATTGCGTTTCCTTTCTCACATCTATTATATTAGGAAAGAAATGAGAGATGAATGGGCCAGATAGGAAGTAAAGAGGAGATAGCAAGTGTGTATATTAAAGGTTAATGGGCAAGAAGATAGGAGATTAAGTTAGAATTGAGAGGAGTGTTCGTGGAGTACTGAGAAGGAAATTGAATGGGACTAACATACGTTAAGAAAAAAAGAAGAGAAAGGCGAGGCCGGCAGCAACCAGAAGAGAAAGGAAGAACAAGCACCTATTTCAAGAACTTTTCCAAGGGGCTATCTTTAAACAATTTTTGCTCGCAGCCAAATTGAACTGCTACTGAAATTTTGGATTTCAACTTTTCAATTCAGATACAGCGCCAGCACTGCTCTGTAGGAGGGATGGTTTTGGCAAAGGGATGAGAAATAAGACGCTGTTATTTCATTGCGGAACGCAGCATGCATATACCTGGTGAAATTGTATTTAAATATATTAGGTAATAAAATATCAAAAATCATGCAATAGTCATATAATATATATCATACTTAAGATATTATGCAACACAAGTCTGTAAAGAAAATGTTTCTATGTCTTTGCTGATGCTTTGTACTAACATTGTGGCAGTAATCTCCACAAACAAGAATGACTATAGTAATGGAAAAGCATATTTCCTGCTCCAGTTTCTGCAATAGCTGCAAAGAGTAGGAGCCCCCACACCCCTAAAGTACACAATTAAGCACAATCTAAATTAAAAAAAAAAAGCACAAAATAGATCTTCCACTCTGAGAAATGCGTACAAGTGAGCTATCTCTTAATTTCAACCAGCCATTCATAGGACGGGAATGTAACTGACTTAATTGTATTACACCTACGAAGCATGAGGTCATGGTGCTTTTGATGGATGGACAGAGAGGAGGACTGGAAAGGAGGTCTGAGTCAGTGCATCTCTGGCATTAATCAGAGAACCTGAGGCCCCGAGGGAAGGAGTGGTGGCCCCCAGGTGCTCAGGCAGCCAGGGTTCCCTCACCCAGCCCCTAGCATCCCATCAGGATCTGTAAAATCATTCTGCTAATGAGTGTCATTTAAAACTTGTACTCCATGGAGGGTTACACATCCTGTGCCTAGCACGATGTGGTATTCACTAGGAGTTTGCTGAGTGAATGAGTGATTGGCTCTGTAGCAACCTGAACCCTGGTTAGTAGAATTAGTCTTCAACCCTTTTTTGCAGATACAATAAAAAGGTGTCTTAATTACATTTCCATGCAAATGACTTGACTAACAATGCACTGTGAAATTTCAGCAATTTACTCAAATTCTGCACTGTCATAAGTCTAATCTTTATTAATGAATAAAATAATGAGTTCATTTGGTCATGAAGCATTTAGCACAGGCCTACTAGGTGTCAGGCCCTGTGCCAAGAGTGACAAACATCATCGGATCTAATCGTCACAACTCCATGAGGATGTTCTGTTAATTTCCCCACTTTTTACAGATAAGGAAACTCGCAGAGAAAAATGAAAATATGCCCTAAATCATCACAGCTGGCAAATAGCAGAGCGGCAATGTCACACCAAAATCTATGTGTCTCTAAAGCCCACTGTCGAACAATTTTAGTCTGTTTAACTATTCATTAAATTTGTATCTGTTCTTTTGGTAGGGTTTTATGTGCATTTCCTGTGTGAATCGTGCTACTTCTTTATATTGGGATATCTTTTTCCTTAAGAGATAAAGGCTTAAGAATGGACATTTTGTTTGTTTGTTTCAGTATACTATTTCTATTCCCTATATTGATATTTCATACACCGCTCATGCACCTTTTTAGCTGTTTGTCTAGAACATTATTCTATAGCATCATTCATCAGAATCCCTTTCAGAAACTGAAGATTTCAGCTTTTGTTTGCTTGTATGTTATTTCTTAAACATTTAGGAAAAACTTGCGTTTATCTAGGTAGAGACTAAAGTGACGAATAAAATTGCTTTTCTTTAATGAGGTCTGATATTCCCTTATTAAATACAAAGATTTTTATCGAAAATGATGAATTATTTTAGGGTTTTCTTGCTATTGGGAAGCACCAGAATAATTTTGGTTTTCGTCTGAATGAAAAAAGACCAAAACGGTATATGATCATTGCATCTTGGCATTTGAGGGTGGCGGCAACGAAGCCTCGAAATAGGTTTAAAATGTCATCTGTGTTTTTTGTTTTGTAAGTTTAAGCTACAAGCTTCCTTTAGATCAAGGCTGAAGCTTTGGAATTGGGTGAAAGTTCAAGCATCCTTTGCTGTCCTATAATATTACCTTACATTTCTACTTTCCCCCATTTTAGTGCGTCAGGCAAAAAAAAAAAAAGCATTTATAATGATAACTTTTATTCTATTCATGTAACTCATGAAGTTATAAGAGTTTGCTTATTTGTGGTTTCGCCCCAGAATATGATCTTCAGAGAAGTCCATGATGGCTTTCGAAGGACCCTCCGAGTCATCAAGAAGACAATGTGCCTGCCTCTGTTGTATGTACATCCGTGTTTATGATCAGAGGATGGGAAGAACTCTGCACATTTTCTATCCAGGGAACAGGCTGAACAATTATGAGGTTTGATTAATACTATTGATGCTTTAATGGCTCATTTTATATCCTGAACACTGGGGGGGAAATCCGTTCCCTCCTGTAAAGACTGTGGTTCCTATGATCCACTTAGCATAGATGGCAAAAAGCATGAAAGATCTCTTGTCCTCCCAGAAGAAATGGGTGGCTGTGTAATGATGGTTGCATATATTACTGAACTGTTACAGAGGAGAGGAAATTACCCAGTCGGAATAGATATGTCTCTGTAGCTTTGCATCCGCATTCTAATAGCCACAGGGTTTATCTTAGTCTGAACGGAGCTCTAAGTTATTAATTGTTTTAATGATTTCATTGATTTCTGCTAATCTAGGTAATGTGCCTTACTAAATTCGGTAGTTTATTTGGCTTTTCAATTAACCTTTTACTTTTATTATATCATTCTTTATTAAAAACAAAGGTTTTAGCTGCATTTTAATGATATGCCTATCTTAGCGTATTATGAATTATATTTGGCTATCTGTACTGCGATTTTCCTGAAGGCTGCAGGGTAATGGCAGACCATAGTGGTTCAGAATTTTATTACAGGTTATCATTAATACAAAACATTTTTTAAAGTCATTAGAATAAATGCTAGAATCCTTAATGTATAACCAAAATATTTTTTTAAAGAATGCCTTTGTATTTTTGAAGAATACAATGATGGAAGAGATGTAATGCTTTAACTTGGGCTTTAATTTCTCAGATTTAGGAATAATGATATGATTTCAACTTCAATCCAAGTCATTTTTATTTTTCTCAATTGACAGATACAAAAATATGTTATAAACCCTTTGGAAATTTAAAACAGTGTTTGAAATAGTAAATTCCAAAAGAGAGGGTGCAGTATATATACTCTTACTGTGTTTATAAAATATTTCACTGGCTTATATAGATTATTTGATATTCAAATGCAATCTGCCCAGTTAAGGTCTTAATTTGCTTTGGCAGATGGAAAGTTATCTGTGTCTTAATAAAAACATTAGTGAGATGGTCCCACATGATGCTGAAGTGAGTCCCGTACTCATCATTCCTGGGGAGTCCCATTCATACATAACTCTTGTACCAATTAAAAACTGTTAATGGCGAAACATGGTAATTGATGAGTCTTTGTATGTTTACAGCTCACTTTAATTGCTGAAAAACACCATTTGTCAGTTTCATGTTCTATCGACAATGTTATTGATTTATCTGAATTTGGCTTTGTCTTGTCTCTCGTACATAAAACTCACATATGCAGTTCAAATGGGAAATGACTGTATTGATTTCCTTAACTTGAGCCCAAATGCTAAAGATTTTTGGATAAGCTTTCTCATTACTTAAGCCAAAATCAATAAGAAAGAGCATCTTTTAATGAAAGAGCAGTTGGAGCAACGTACTTCAGAAATGGGGTCCTGTTCATTCTTTGCTTTACAAAATCGATCTCCTCGGTTCCTTAAGTGAGGTCCAATTGGTTGACATTGTGGTTTGTCTTTGTGTGTAAACTTGCAGCTTCCGAAAAGAGAGGATGAGCTACAGAGATAGTAGAAAGACACTCTCTACCTGCAAAGAAGATGGTCCACGCGCAGGTATAAATTCTCATGTTGAAATGCAGTGCAACCCACACATTTATCAAAGAATTCCTCCATCTCTTAATTTCATGCCTACGTATTTTATGATTGCACAATATTTTAAAAATTTCTTCACACCGGTTCATTTTACAATATCTACCTATGCACATGACATTCATGTAGTACACCGATCTTATGTTAATACATATTTTTATTTCTGCTTTTTTATTGCTGCTGCAGTTAATATTCATGTAAGGCAAAAATAATTCACTGAAACATCAGGTCGCTTTTAAAATAACTTTTTGTGAAGTGATCTTTTATCTTCATGTGTTCTTAACTGTTAAAGTTCCCAATTTCTGCCGGACGACAAGCATTGTAGGTGAGTTACAGAAATAAAGGACCCACCCTGAGGACTAACAGAATGAACTGAACGTATAAAACAAGTTATATGGACAGGCCAAATGTCCGGTACTGTACTATGATATCATTAACTTCCGTGAACTACATAAATTAAGCTGATTATGCCTTCAATTAATTAACTGAGAATGACCTATTGATGTATAGGCCAAGTTAGCTAGAGACCGCTTGCTGCACTGTACTTAATTTATTGGTTTTCAATTAGTTCTTCCCTTGCCTGTGATTGTTGAGAAAAAAAAATGTCCATTTATATTTATGTCCCATAGTGCGTCTTTATGCATAGCGGGTTTATATTTTAAATTTTACCCTGAGTAGTGTTTTCGATATTCTATCTCTTACATTTGTTTCAAGAACACTCTTGCTTCAATTACATTTTGGAAATTAATTTTTACCAAATTTACTGTTAAACTACATTTTTGTGGAGCAAATTCAATGAAGAAAGTTCCCAGGTAAACATTTAGACTTTTAAAAATGATCTCTAGAAAATTAGCCTGAGAGATTTTTTTTTTAAGTGAAAAGATTATGGTTTGAATGGTTCCTCTCAATTCCTTGTGGTAAGTAGGGCCAACGTATATGAGAATACCTTCAGACAGAAATGTATTCTTCCAATGTTGACCTTTTATATACCGATTTCATGAGGGCTTTTATGCCTCACATTGTTGCTCTCTGCTACATAGGTTTTATAATCCACTAATGAAATAATATCTTTTGCATCATTCTTATGTTCTCGGTATCCAAACTTTAGAACATTTCTCTAGTGGCTGGTAGACTGATTTTTGGTTTTATAATTATTTGAACTATTTACTATTGATAGTTATTGTAGCAGGGTCCGTCAAAATACGAAAGTAAATCAAATATAAAGAAAGTATGTGACCTGGCTTTGGTAATTCATTTTATGTTTCCCAACTTCAGGACTTTACCTGAGAATGGAATTAATAAGGGAATTTAGACTCAGGACTCTTTTGAGGCACTTGCCGACCCTTGTATAATATGTAAGTGGTAGAAGCATTACCTCTTCTGGAAGTTCAGAGAGAGAGAGAGAGAGAGAGAGAGAGAGAGAGATTTCTGTGGACTGGAGTAGTGAGGAATAGATTAAAGATTTAATTATTCCTACAAGATATACATGGGTAGCATTACAGTTGATAATCCACATTAAAATTTTATGCAGAATTTAATTAATACTGTAGGAGCTTGTGGGCATATGAGGATTTACCATTATCGTTATTTGTGAATAGCCCTCAAAACCCATACATATTGTAGGAACGTGTGCATCACACATTTCAATCTCATACCCTGTGCACATACCCTCGTGTTGAGAGAGTAAATGAACAGCCATATCCACTGTTGTGTTTCACACATTTTTATACATATACAGTGATTCTCACTGAGGATTTGACTGGCCCACTTAAATTCTTAACAATATTTTCCTTTATTTCAGGAGAGAAATTGTTGGCCATTGTACAGTTTGTGAATTTGGGGTCCACAAAGGACTTGGAATCTCATTTGGAAATCTCAAATGACTACTGTCCCTTGAAAATCTAATGTAGATTGTTTGAGAAAGTAGTAGTATATAAAACTTATGTTTGGGGAAGACTAGATGAGAAATTCCCTTTTAGTTTTGTAATATATGAGCTTTTTATTGGACACCAAATATGTGTGTGTGTGTGTGTGTGTGTGTGTGTGTGTGTGTGT